ACAGTTACTCCAGACAGTGTGGGAGAAAGCGTGAATACAACTGCTTTACTGTTTAACAAGTGGGCAACGAAGACCTGCATCATTGTTGAAGGTGAGGGAAAAAAGCTGAAATGACCTTAGGCCATAGGAGTCCTTTAACTGGAAACAAGAAGTTTCATCTAAATAAATTAGAATCATGGGGAAGAAGCAAAGCAAGAAAGGATACAGTCAAAGCCACATTCTGGAAAAAAGTGCAGATCTAATTGAATTGACACAAATAGGTAAGACTGCTTTGCTGCAAGCAAAAGAAGAAAAGGCAAAGCAGAGTGCAAACATACAAAACTTTACCTGCAAGGATGAGAACTTGTATCTCAATTTAAGAAGCGGCAAACTCACAACATTTAGACAAAATTATAGTATGAGAAACTGAAGAAAAACTTGGGCTCAAGTGAATGCCCACACAGAGAAGTGAGAGCCTACAGAACACAAGGGTCAGTAGTAGCGTTCACTCACCAAAAAAGTAAAAAGCAGAAAAATTGGGTCTTTTTAAGTTATGTAGTGCATATGCTAAGAGTCAGATGTGTGCAAGAACCAGTCCACAGTCAAGTATGTTTTTTGTAGTACAGAGACACAAAGACAAAGGCACATAAGTCAGAGCCAAATGTAAGTAGACTATTGCATATATTTTATGGAACAAAAACATGCATGTCATGTGCTTAAAGCATAAAGCAACTCAAGTGTAGAGCACAATAGCCTATGAATTCCAACAGAACTCTGAACTTTGTTGTTTTGTTCTTGTTTATTTAAGCCTAGAGTAACATACTCTAGCAATTTTCATTGACATCTTCACATAAAACACTTTTGTTTCTAATGACTGACCATATTTACAACTGGCTTTTCAAATTCTTTGCTTTTTGGTTGTTCTTGTTTGTTTGTTTTAAGAGCAAACAATATTCTTTTAAAAAATCTATTCTTTATTACTGATGAAAGTTAGACCTGTGATACTGATCTTTTCATCACACTTCTATGAAAAGTGATGGATCATTTTGTTGCTCTGGTTGACCTCAACTTCCACTGTTAATTTTAAGTATTCCAGCACATGAACTCTTTTTCCCGTGATGATCTTAAACAAAATTACTTTAAGTGATGTGGGAACTTGATCAGATTATTTTAAACGTGATTATTATGGTACTCTCTTATATTTCAATGACTCAAATTTTGTTCTTTTTATTGAACTTGCAGGGCTGCATATTTTAGGTCATTCAGGTATTTTACCATGCTGACTAGCAGTTGCTTTTTGTTTTGTTTTTTTTGCCCTGCAAACAACAGCAACAAAATCTGTATGCATGGGAAAGAAGAGGAGCTATGGGAATATGGAAGACAGCCACATCCTCTATCAATCCAAGATGTAGTTTATTTGTCTCCATGTTACATCTATATATTTTAAGTGGTAACTGATAGTGTAATGGTCTGAACATATTAACGCCCAGAGTTACTACCAAAACATGTATCTCTTTAAATTGCATCTGTATAATCATATGCATTTGACACGATTTTATTACACAACATGGGCTAGTCGACAAAGTGTTCCAAAAAAATATGCCCTGAATTTCAGTTTTCATCCTTCGTGCAGCTTAGTAATGCTTGATTCTCAAATAGTTTTTGGTTAAATATTGACATCTTGTGGCATAAATCAGTCACTGCAAGAATGACTCTCAATACAGTGCCTATTCTGATGAAAACATACATAATTAGTAATCTGAGCAGTTAATTTCACACATCTGTTTCAGTTCATTATTTACACAGCTAGGAAGTCAGCACATTTGCAGAAAGTGGTTTGTTTTTTTTTTTCCATTACACATCCAGATTATTAATTAACTTTCAGAGCCTCACAAATGAATCAATGCTACTGCTAGAGGACCTGCCAACCCTCTTGGTACATTTGATACACACTGTAGGAGATTGATCTATCTAAGCCTTTACTGGTTGTCTTAGAAAAGAACATTACTATCATGCAAGCATATTACATTGAGAGAATTGTTTAGGAGGAAGAACAGTTATTCAAACTCTTGAATCTCCAAGTTTGGTTTTTTTCTCCTCCCCTGTACAAACCTAGAATTCCCCCAGTTTATCTGTTTCCCGTTCCCCTCTGGGCAGGCAGCAGAAGAATCCCATGCTGTATGCCAACAAGAACAAAAACAAATTAACTTCTGGAAGACTTTCTTCAGTTTGTGAGGAAAGGATGCCTGTGATGACTCACTGGCAACAATTTGCTACTGAGGTGTTAAACATGAATTGCTTGTGACAAGTACAGTGAAGAGGCCTTCAGTTATGTATTATTATGAACATAGTTCCTTCAATTTCTAATTCCTTTTCAGAAAATCAGCTTCTTCTTTTGCCTGTTTTTCTGTTAAAACTTGAAAAAAATATATTGAAGATTTAATCTAGCATTTCTCTGAACATACGAAGATGGTACCTGCACGTACTGGTGGAAAATCTGAAAGAACTTGTACTCATGGAGGTGAACAGCAGTTGTAACACAAAACTTCTGGGACTGTGACTATGTCACAAGCAAATACTAGTGCATCTGAAGACAACCTCACTAACGTTAGTTAAAAGAAACAACAAACACAAAAGTGGATTCTCATGCACAATATATTAAAAAAAAAAAAAAAAAAAAAGACCCAAATCACACGCCCATGCACATATAGTTCTTTTCCTGTTGTTCAAGTATTGTTACCTTCCCTATTGCATCATTAACACCAGACCAAACACAAAGAAGTATGTCTACTGTTTAAATAAATGCAAAGACCAGACTATTAACTCAGCTCTAATGAGTTAAGTAGGGGTTACAGTCTTATGACAGAGTGAATGAGCTCTTTAGGGCAGAAGTTACATCTGCATAAAGTTCTCTATGCTTATATGAAAACAGGAGCTTTTAATGTCACAGTATTCTTGTTTTGAAACGTATGATTCACTGATACTTGGATGTGAACTTGCTAAATAACTATGCTGTGATTGAAAACTTTAAAAGCACAAAGGATTCATCTACAATTTAGTAAACATTTCCATCTTGCTTCTTTGAGTATAATAGCTGAGTAAATTTATTAATACAAGTGGTGGTATTTTTGTTGTTGACATAAATTTCACTTTATTTTTAACCAGCTAGTTTATTTTTAACAAGCTAGCAACAAACTAGAATGGTGGGAGAATAGCAGATATATAAAATTAAATTAGTTATTCAATACTGGTTTATCTGCACAATATGATAGTGCTGAGGAAGGAATAATCCTGTCACTCAAGTAGATACTCCACACTCCACAGGTCATACAAAGTGAGTGAAGTGTTCGTGTAAAAGACATCAAGTAATTCTGTTTCAATTGAGTATTCAAGACAGTGGTACATAGGCCATAAAAACCTGCATAACATACAAAATTGTTGTGCACTGGCTGTACGTAGTAACAATGTCATCTGTAATGATGTCATTTTCTCTTGCTATAGGAGAGCAGAACTACTAAGTCTATGAATTAAGGTTTAGATAGCACATTTAGATGTGGGTGAGATTTACCACAACCAAAAGACAAACTTGACAATCTTTTAAGAAAAACCCCAATTCAGCAGCTTCCGTAAGGGGAATTCATACTACATTATTCAATTGTTTTGGGAGCTACTTCTAAATCACTGACCAGGAACCACTATGAGTGAATCCAATAAAATTTAGGCTTCCATGAGAGAGAAAAAACATGCTACCCTCCGTGGCAGGCAAGGTAATACAGTCATAAACATTACCTAAATAACAGTATCAGTTGTTCAGCTTTTATGTCTGTCTGCAAAAGAAAAAAACCATGCTGGTTTGAAATAACATGCTTTGGAAATCTAGCGTGAGCTTGCACAAATTAGTTTCACATTTTTGAAAAACTGCAAATAAAACCTCTCTTAGAAAAGTCAGTTGTGTTTGCGTCAGAGCCTCTTAGAATGGTGCTTGGTCCTAGACCAGAACAACACAAAGACCGTTAAGTAGTGTTAAGTAAACCCAAAGAGGGGAAAAAAAAGCTCCTTATGGATCTATTTAGCAACATTGGGCAAGAATAATAGACTTCGAGATTTTTTCTTTCTATACAAAATTGTTTTTACATATGAGCATCAATGAATCTTTCTTTTTTCAATTAGAATATCAAGTAAAGTACCCCAAACTCAGAACAGCTGTAGAACTTATTTTAGTGATTTATATAAGCTGAAGAGTGGATGCCATCACCATATATATTTGATCTTAGCATCTTTTTTTTCCTCTCACCTGAAAGTATATGCACAAGTATAAATTACATTCATCCTAAAATGTTCATTCTCACTCCCTATAGGACAGCACATAATGCCAGTCCTTTCTTTTATTACTATTTCACCCTAAAAAGGGTCTGAAGCACTAACCCACATCAATCCAACGTGTCAGAGATTTCCCAATTGAAAATCAGAGGGATTTTCAAGTGTTCTCAGAAGGGAAGATTTCCTCTCCCTCCTTACTTTGCTCTTAGGGTGAAAGCACTGAACTTTCTCACTTGTTTTGGAAGGGACTATCCAAACCTTTCCATGATCATCTTCCTTACCAACAAATTCCTCTCTACAAAACTTCTCAATTTCATCTCATTCTCATTGTGCATGATTCAGTGGAATAACTGCAACAGCAAAACTCAAAATGTTGCCCACTGTATTGCATTTCAGCAATATTCATACTGAGTTTTGTTGTAGTCGACTCTCCCAGTATTTTTATCCCAGGCAAATTTATGAAGCACAACTATATAACAAGTTCTTCACCGCAAATGTACAATACTTCCCACAATGTAACAGCCTGAATAAATAAATAAATAAATAAATAAATAAATTACATCTCTGTTGCTCAGCCTGAACCACATTTTGAAAGCTCAACTCCGCATTTAAGTTACATTTTACCATCTTGCAAATTTGCTGCTTAATATAGCTGCACTAGTAAATGAAATAAAAACACACACACACAGCAATCAACTCACCATGCTGTTCATTTTTGAAGAGGATGAGCTTGCTCTCTGCTTCCGTAGGCTGTTAAGTTCTTCTGCATTGCCATCCTTTGGTTTTATGATCAGTCGACTGCTTCCAGCAGTGCCTTCCGAGGAGGATCTGAGTCTCTTCTCAATAAATCTGCCTTCTCGGTATGGACTGAAGCTATTGGCAAGATCAACTACAAATAGACATGCAATCAGCAAGCGTTACAGAGAATTGTTCTCCACAAATATTTTCTTACAGAAAACGCTTCACTTCAAATGCTTAGCAAGGAATCACATAAGATTGTAACAGTGATAATTTCCATAAGGTATCCTGTAGAAAACAGATCCTATTGAACTAAATAAAACATAGCCTTTCCTTCTTTTCGCTCTTCGTTCTTGGAGGCTTCCAAACTATTGTCCAGTAAAATCTACCAGAAAAACTATCACTGATACCCTGGTGCAAAAAACATAACCTGTCTTATCTTGTCCCTAACTTCCGTAGGGCCAGGTCACAGCTTTGTTAGAAGCGTATAGCACAGTTCTTCATCCATGCTCTCCAAACTCATATTGCAGGATGCATCCCGGACCTCAACTTCCATTAAGTAAAATAACATCAGAAAAAGAGGAGAAAATTACGTTTTCAAGTGCTAGGTCAACTTCAGAGATGGGCAAAAATGGAAAACAAAATAGCATAACGTCCTAGTGATATCAGTATTCCACAGCATGACATCATGCAACAGGCTGTTGGGTGTAGAGACATAGTGCACTGTGGAGCTGTACTTCCTAGTCTCATGTTCTCTATAGCAGTTTCACATGAGTTCTAATTCTCCATGACGAAGATACACTGAGATGTAATATGTTTCCCAAGGGCTTCCACATGACCTATGATTCCGGGTGACAGGGGTGGTTTTTTCCAGCAGCCCAGCAAGCAATAGCATGGTAATAGCCTTCTTTTTCTCCTCACTCATTTGAGTTATTAATTGTAACTCTTTTTATTATCACCTTACATTCTTTTACCATTCGTAGTAAATTTGTTATCCCTTCTTACCTTAATTGGATCATTTTTCTTCCCTTCTCCCCAGAAAGGGAGTAAGGGGTCCCCTTGCCCGGTTGTACTTGAAATCATGACACGTAATAAATGTAACACACATGAAAATCTTAATTTCTTATGCCTTTTGCAAGAAAGCAGACATTTCCTTAACAGCTTTACAAAAAGAAAAAAAAAAAAAAGTATGGCATAAAACTATGTAGGCATATATTAAGAAATGCATTGCAATGCAAATGTCCAATCTGGTCAGACATTTGAGTCGCATTTTATGATGCTGTCAACCACTGAAATCTGCCCTCAGACCAACCATGGAAGAGAAAGTACTTACTGTTACATAAAGTATACAGAAATACTTTACATTGGCACCCAGTTTTAAATACTATTCAGTGTTCAAAAACGTCTGTTGGCACCAATAACAATACTTATACTTACATCTTTCCCAACACTACAAACTTTTGCTATGCTCATTTTATTTCACAGAACAGGATTTTCTGTACTTTTTCCTTAAATGTGTTTGATCACTTTCTAATTTTAAATAAATTCTTCACTATACAAATTGGAAAAAGAATGCATTTGGAATAGAATTAAAAAACCATAATAATTAATCACCGACTTCTAAGTAGTGCAGTATTAGCTGGAGTGTTTAACTGAATATTAAGTTCATTTACAAAAGTCTATTACACTTCCAACACTAGTAAGCTGTCTTACAGGCATACACATTAAGTATACAATTGCTGATGCATGATTAGAAATACACACAATTTGCAACTGATCACTTTGAGACACTCCTTGTTTTTCATTGTAGCTACTCCACTCTACTAAATCAGATTAATAAGTGTGAGCCCATTTCACAAGTGAGCCAAAGAAGAAAAGCCAAAGTGCTCAGAACAGATAGCATACTTAAATTGAAACATCTTGCTTTTTTGTCCCACCTGAATAAGGTTCAAGATAAACAGGTCTCCTCTCGTGAAAGCTAATTTAGGGGATTAATTTGATGTTACGTATCCATTTATGAACAAGACATCCAACAATCCAGTACAGTGAAAAATAACTGAAGAGTAAGATTGCTTCCGATTGCTTAAAATCTACATGACTAAGTAAATGTCCAGGCTTCTCCAGGAGAATGCTGTGGGAGATAGCGTAAAATGCTCTGCTGAAGTCTAGGTAGACTATGTCAACAACCTTTCTCCCATCCACAGTGCAGGTCACCTCATCATTGCAACACTGTAGAGGGAAGTCAAGCTGGTCAAGCATGACGTGCCAAGCTGGCTAGGCTGATCCCCCTGGTTGTCCCACAGAAGCTGTGTGATCACACTTCAGATGGCGTATTCTATAACCTTCTCCAATACTGAGGTCAGGCTTCCCCTCAATCTTCCTTCCGACCCTTCTTGTAGATGGGTCTCGCACGACAAGTCTTCAGTCATCTGGGACTTTCCAGCTGACCAGGACTTCTGATAAATGATGCAGAGTAGCTTGGTGAGCACTACTGCCAGTTTCTTCAGTACCCTCAGCTAGATCCCATCCAGTCCCATAGACGTGTAATAGTCTAGGGGAAGAGCAAATCACTGTTTCCTCCTGAATTACAGGAAGTATTATTCAGAAGAGTTGTCCTGTGAGTGGAACTTCATGCTTATAACTTAGTTTCCAGCTTTTATGATACTCAGCCTTTCCTGACCAGACTCGCAAACAGTTGTACAAATCTGGCACAAGTCAAAGTCAACAAATGCCTGTATTTAAGTGGCATGATCTAGGCTGAAGCACATGGAAAACAAAGCCAAAATGACAGAAGTTCCACAAGTTATCAGATACTACATCTCAGGTTGATATTAAACATGGTTCTTTCAATCAGAGCAGAGAATGATTTTCTTTGAGATTTTATTTACAATTTTCTATAAACTGAGATTGAGGAATAGCTTATTCACTCCGTCTTGTTAGTATTTTCAAACTCTTTTTTGAAAGTTAAAGACCCAGCTGATCATCAACATTCTCCATTATACAATCTGTGAAATGCCCATCTGCACAGCGCTATTTCAGATAGAAACAGCAATATACTATTTTATTCTGTCACTGTAACATTTCCTTCAAGCTACTTAACAGCATCGTTTCATCACAGCATAAAAGCATGTGAATATCAGGAACTTTTGAAACCTAGAGTATTGCAAGATACAAAGTAAATTATTGTTCATAATCAGCTAAAGGAGGCTTATTTTTTGGCAATTTTTCTTTGCCAAACAACAAGCCTTCAACTCAAGTCCAAACTATGCATGCCTCAAAAATCCCACAATTTCCATTCAACAAGAGGCAAGAATCAATTTTCTTTCTTAATGCATTTCGTATGTAAAGAAAACAAAGATACCAACATCACTGAGAGATGTTATTATTACTAAATGGTAAAACCTGAATCCCAAAAAAACAACGGTTTTTGTTTTATACCTTTTGTTATTCTGATTTAAGCTTGATTTTGGAGGAAAACACAATTCATAACTTCTCACCTTTCTAGATAGCACTGACAATGCTAAACTAATACTTAACAACTGAACAATCTCTAAATCATAACTAAGGGGAAAAAGAAAGCAAGTCAACTTCAAAACCATCAAACCTCACAATTAAATAAGAGTACATACCGTTAGGATGGTTTGTTTCATATCCCTGTTGCGTTTTAAAGGACTGAGATTCAGAACACTGAATAATCTTAGGCTCTGTTACAGGAATTGTTTCTCTCTTGTGCTTGGAGAACGTGATTTCCTCTTGGTCCCCACTCAACTCCTTAGCTGCTGGAGAGTGCATCCCCAGTTCTTCTTTATGCTGTAATGCAAAGGTTTCTAACTTCACCTTTGCTGAGTTCATTTCTCCTTTGTGCCTGGCATCTGTAACATGTAGTTCATTGGCTTGCAATGATACTTTCGTTTGATTAGCAGCTGAAGTTTTGAACAAAGTATTAGATTCAACACTACACAAGCTTGCATGACTTGCAGGAGATACAGCAGCAGACTGGCAAGGACTTCCCACATAATCCATTTCCTTCACCGGAACAGCAGCAGGATTAAAGATTATCTGAGAGGTAGAGACACTATGGCCAAAATCCTCTGCTAGCAGCACACCATTCCCACTGCTGGGCAGAGCATCAACCTCTGAAACAGAATCCTCCGTCAAGGTTATGAAGTCAGAGGGGGTCTGGACAGCCGTGAGGTCAGCCGAGAGCAGTGGAGACTGCAAAGCACTCCCCATGCACTCCATCACCTCAGCTGAGCACGGAGAAGAGGACGTGGCAATCACTGGCTCACTTTCAACATAGGATTTTATCTCCAGCACGCACCCAGTCTGCTGCACAGAAGAAACTGATTGACTCTGTGGAACCGGTTTGGAAAACTTGTGGTGCGATGAGAAAGATTTAGGGAGAAGTTTTCGTGTGGACTGTTTGACAGAGTAGCGGCTCTGTTCCTCCACAAAGCCAGAATCGTCACCCTCGTTTTTGCCAGAGCTTATACAATTTATGAAGACATTCTTATTAGCTGAAGATTCCTTTCCTTTTTCGAAATCATCTGTCAAAGACCTTGTTATCTTCTTGCTACGCGAACTGCCAAAGCTAACCGAATGCCTTCCTCTGCTTTTAATGTGTTCCTCCAGGCACAGTTTTTGAAAAGTACTGAGAGAGGGCTGGGCGCCATTTGAGACGTTAACATTCTGGCTGGCAGCATCAGGCTTTTGCTCCACCCCCTTTTTGTTATGGAAGCTAATGGAAGGAGTTCGGAATATGCTCCGGCGCTTGCCTGTGCTCCCTGAGCTGGAGTTAGTGCTGGATGGGGAGGAGGTGTGCACACCCACAGTGCTGGCAGAGGAAGGTGAAGAAGGGAGAGAGTCATGTCTCCGGCTAATACTTCTTCTGAATATTGGCAACCGAGACACTAGAGTTGATCGCCTGGATCCTGAGTCCCCCATTAGGGCACGAGGCGCTCACACTTCTTCACAACCAAGAAATTAATCTGGGGTGAGAAAGAAAGACAGAGAATAATAATTCAGCCTAAAGGCCAAGTGAACAAGTTAAGTCAGCCAAAAGACTTGAGACATCAAAGTCTACCTTACGTACAACTCCATCTCATTATATATTCTTACAATTTCAGTTATTTTGATCTGCAGCACCAAAATCCTAGTAACTGAGCAAAGATGTGGCTCAAATCATTCTACACAAGATACACAATTGTATACATCATGCAATGCATATCATACTGAGTAACAGTATAAATCTACATGATACACAGATATCCTTTGTTATGTAAGTTCTTAGAACAAGCATCCCGATAAAATGTAGCTACTAAAGGTAATAGGCACCATCTTCGAGCAAACAAAATGCTAGTGTTGCAATCACGCTCACCAACACCCATTCTTCCTAGACAGTGTTAACTTCTAGCAATTCACTGTCAAAATGCAAGATCATGTTGATAGATTCCAACTTTAAAATTTTATTTTAACAGTTGTGTAAGATACTTTTGAAGTGGTTTTTCTTGCTTACAATCAGATGTTTTTGCAGGTTTCTAATAATCAGCAAAACGTGTTTTGTACACACATTTGGCGTCTTTTAATATTTAAGCAGTAAAATATTGTATTAACAGCACTGCAGATATAACTACAACAAAACTAATCTTTAAGAAATACACAACAGTTGTTCCTCCTTTTGGTTTTTGCCATATTAAACTACTGTGGTGAGTGACAGGACTGCTGAGAGAACAATAAAACCAGATGATACGATCACAAGAACAAGAGAGGTCTAATGCTTAAGTGCATCTTATTGAATTGCAAGTGTTCAGCACTTAGGAAAAAATACCAGGTCATTTATCTAAGCAGCATTTGTATGTCAAGCACAAAAAACAAATTCATTCATCTGATACAATACATATGAATGGCATATATATTTATATAGTGTGTATGTATACACATACAAACATACACATACGTACATATGGGTACCTATAATTACATCTATACTATGTTACTGTAAAAGTAAGAGTAATGATTAAGTTTAGAGATTGTGAGTAGACAGCTTCTGTCAGCACGGCTCCAGTTTGAATGTGCACTATCAAGCAGCCACAATTTAAGTAGCATCAAGAATGAATTACATTTTCTAGCTTATGAAGGAAGACATAGCTTGCAAACAGCCACTGATTTCCAGAATACACTGACCATTACAAGCTAAAACCTGAGCTGGATAATACAGAAGTCCAGCAACTGAATTGACACAAATTTAAACTGTCCTGTCCTACAGGGACAGAATTGATGTACAGGCAAACAAGCAGGTTATCAAAATAGCTTTTCATCAATTAAACCAAATGACACAAGGGCTCTGATACGTAAGGCCCCTCACATTTACAATGCTAGGAGCAAAAGTACTGGCAGCAACAGAGAGGATCCAGGCCATCAGCTCACATGAGGACTTACGTTGCTCTACATTCTTCACCTGCCCACAACCCAACCTACTGAAAACACGTCAGAAAGCTGCATGCAGCCCCATCTGCCCTCTCCACACAGATCTCTGCTTTTAGCTACCTTCAGATATATCATGTTAATTCAGATATATTGTGATGTTGTTGGTGGGCTTGGGTTGGTTTTATTTTTTTTTGCTTTCGTAAACATGTGCTTGCAGGCATACAGATGTGTGCAGACAACACAAGATTATTCAACAAGACTATGAAGGCCCTTCCTAGTATTTTCATAAGACGTCATAATCACTGAAAAGAGCTTTTAGAATGTAGTGTTGCAGCTGCAGTAGATAGGCCAAATATTTTTAAAAATATTAAATTGCTATGGACCTTGTTACGCTCAAATCATTATTCACTCCCATTGTCTACTCTCTGTGGCCCACATCTTAAGTATCAGTTCACTAGAGATCAAGTCCTCCTATTGTGTAATTAGGAAATGAACTCAATAGAGAGTCAAAGGAAGTATAAAAAGGAGGAAAAAAAGCACATGTTATTCCGTTTGCAATAAGAAATCTGTGTCTAAATAATAATAGACGTTATTCCTATCAACCAATCTGACGTTACTGCCCAGGTAGCAGTTCTTAATGGAATTCCTTTCTCTAGCAGCAGATAACATAAATGGTATTTGCTCATCCATTCTGCCTTGCCTTCTGAAGGCAGAGCACACACAGGCTGTCAACACTTCTATCATCCAGGCAGCAAAAATCCTCACGCATTAAATAAGCTCATTACAATAAGGCATAAGCTCATTATAATCAACTATAAGCTCATTAAAACATTTACCATTCTTTCTAGGGAAACAATGGCTATCATAAAACATTTCTGAAAACAAACAGCCATGCATACAGGAACGCTTAATTGCATATGTGGGACAATGTCAATGTTCAGCCCTGAGTCAAAATGATTGTTCTACTTGCAATATAGAAAAGGTATACATTGATATACACAAACAGTTAAAAGACTTTTTTCCTTAATACAGGAGGGTTATAAACTGCCATCTGTATTCTACTATTAACTATATTAAAGAGGTGGTGCTCCCTTTCAGTCTTCACATACACCTTAATTGTGTTTACTATTTTATAGTGGTAAATCTTAAAGAGTGAAATTCAGTTCAGCTACACTGTAATTCTCTTCATAGAAAAATGTTTATTCTATACCAAGCCACTAAATATCTATATCCAATATTCTTAGCTCTACTGACAAAGTTCTTAAAAAGCAAAAATAAAGGAAAAAGAAAACAATAGAGAAATATCTTTGAATGACAGATAGCTTTTGCCCTTGCAGACCAATCTGTCAATTAACTTGGACTTTTCCTACAAAAATCACAGCTATTCTGATCCAGCACATTAATTCTAGGACCTACCGCAAAGCTTCTTTTACCTTCAAGAAACAACAGCCTTGTTAGAACAGTAGCTATAATACTAGTCAAGCAAACAAGAAGGATCTACAAAAACAAAGCAGGCAGGTCTAGGATGGCTTTCCATTGTATCAGCATCCTTGCTTAAAAAAATATATATTTTGCACAACCATCACATCATATGAGTCAAAATATAATCTGAATGATGTTTAATATAGAGGTCAGAACGCAGCTACATGATACAACTTGGGACGGATTTTTGATGCACATTATTTCATGTGGTATAATATAATACTAAGTATGATATTATGAAAAAAAAAAAATAAGTAACCTGTCTTTAAAACATTTAGTTGCAGTCAGAATAATGATGGATTATCCCATGATCTGCTGTTCCTCAACACCAATGAAAATTAAGAAACATGCAAAGTGTGAAGCAGAATGTGAAAGAGACTTTTTCCCCATTCTTAGCAATTTTAATAGTTACTCAGATGTAAATAGTTTCTTTTCACAAAAGAAAAAATATATATATCTGATTAATCTCAAAAAATATACTAAAGTCATGTACATCATTACAAGAGAAAACCCAGCGGGCAAGTTTGTTTTACTTCTTCCCATATGAAAGATCTTAGGAGAAACAATCCAAACACACAGTATTATACAAAATATGTAAATGAACAGGGTAAGAATTTTACAACATGCTCTTTGCTTTCTAAGTTGTACCTTAACAAAAGAAAAAAATGACTTTCAACTTCTAGCTAGTAAAGGTAGAAAAAGTAAAGTACAAGTGTTTGAAATGGGTAAAAGTTAGCTAAACACTACCCAGTGTCTTCAGAGAAATCTATTGGCTGACCATCAGCTGAACAATTAACCCCAGTACTTTTAATTTCCCCTTCTGCAGAGAGTTACTCACAGAGCTGTGCCAGGGCACACTAGGTATTTAAAAGAGCAGCTCTGGCAGGGGTGTTTAGACACCAGTAGATGGAGCAGTCGTTCTGCTTTTTAACTGATCACAGATGTAACAAAGCATTAACACCTTCTGCACTTCTCACAGTCTTTGAAACAAATTTAGGACCTGAAATTATTTGTGAATTTTACCATTACCATAAGTATATGTCCACACTAAAATCTAATAGATGCTTATTCAACAAATAATTGTCATGTCCAAGCCTACAAATGTTTTTCCATTATAAAGTACTACCTGTAAACATTTTCTAAACAAATCTTTCCTAAAGATTTCCTCATTAAAGACATATCTTCTAGAAATATTAAACAGTATCTGCCACACAAAGTTGAAAACAGGATTAGCTGCCTAGAAGTCTAAGTGGAAAGCTAAATGACAAACACCTGAAAGGCCCTGACCTTTACTCAAAATAAGAACAGAAACAGTGAATCAGGAATCATCTACTAGATGAAACACACAGGACTACTGTGAATATTTGTACAGAGAACATGCGTGATCATCCTGTAATGTCTCCTGCACCACTGAGATGTCTGCAGGGACCACTTGGCTCCAGACTTGCACAGACATGACATTGACCCCAGGGTACTACAGGAACCTGAACTAACTCCCAGATAAACACATACAAAATAAATACATTTCATTTTCAGTCAGTCAACAGAAGTCTGGCGCAGCTCACGCACTCATGATGAATTGCCCATTAACACAGTAGGCAGCTTCAAAGTCTGCGTATGCCACACTTACGTACTAGGCAGCTAAGCACTACTGCCTAGAATATTACTCCAATTTTACCAAATTTCGTTTCAATCTCATTTGTGTCTCCGTCATATTTATTTCATTTTGCTTTTTTCCTTTGCATAGCCCATCAAATCCATTAAAATACTCATTTTCCATTTAAAACAAACTTCTGTGTATAAACTCTTCTATAAACCCATTGTGGAACAGCTGCCACAGCTGCATTTTCTGTGTTTGATTTTATAAGCTAGATTGATCTTGGCAATCACTTAAGAGTTTGATTTTTCCTCAATAGCTATTTATAAGCCAAGAAAGACTAACCGATATAGAGAGTTGAACTTCTACAAAGTTGCATGTCTACACATGCATACAACGCAACACATCTTTTCCTCTCTGTATTGCACTGTGTGTGTTTATCAGGAAGAAGGGGAAGAAAAAAAAAAAAAAAAAAAAAAATTT